GAGCCTGCAGCTTTAAGTAGCAGCAAGAGCCTCCAGGCTCAGCAATACGTGTCCCAGATTTGGGTGCTGCCATCCTGATACCCGGGCCAAAGTGTGGTGACTCAACCCTCAGCAAGCCCAGGCTCAAGCATTGCCATCCTCACACCTCTGCCTCAGATTTGAAGCCTTTAGTGATGATAACCAGCATAGATGATAGGTACTGCAGTTGGGTTTCATGCTTGTGTACTCAAAAGAAACATGATCAACGAGGTTAGAACCTGTAAAACATCACTACCAGTATCAGCTGTTGTTAGCATATGGTACAGATCCCTAACAGAGAGACTTCTGTGACTGAAGTAATTGCTTCTGTCTCTCTAAAATCAGACCGTCCCACCTTCATTGCCTTCCTTCCAGGTTTCAGAATTTAGGACCTGAAATAGTAGGCAGCTACAGACACTCAATAGCTTTGATTAAGTAAAGTCCTTTACGGAAACAGACAGCCTGACTTCTATTTGAAGTCAGGAAATCTCATGAACTGATTTTAGGAGAGTGTTCAGACAGCATATCTGAATTTAAGTGGCATTAATAAGTACTATACCTTATGGTCATGTTCTTGTTTTCCTAGTCGTCAGGTCTCCAATGACTTCAGAGATCTTCCAACACTATTAATCCATGGAATTGAGGCCCTTCTCATGTCATTATTAATTGGATTTTTGTACTATGGCCACGAGAAAACCAGACTTTCTATTCGTGACACAACAGCACTGTTGTACACGATGGGTGCATTAATCCCATTCATAGTGATTTTGGATGTTATTGCCAAATGTAAGTGCCAGTTTTCTTGTAAAAGTTATAAGCAATCAAAATCAGAAAATTCTTGAATTGATAAAAAATATATACTTCTTAATGCAGCCCTAAGATGAAATCAACCTGTTTTTTCCTACCCTGCAGGTCACTCGGAAAGAGCTATGCTTTATCATGACTTAGAAAGTGGAATGTACTCTGTTAGCCCATACTTCTTTGCTAAGGTAATTGGATTCATTGCCAGAAAATACAAACTGCTAGCTTTAACATTAGAAAACACAAACAAGTCAAAGCCTCATTGTATAAATGATCACATTCTTATATGACTTTGTTCTTTTGTGTCTGCCAGCTAAGGGTATTGCTCTTGGTTCTTTGGCATCAATGGATGAAGCCTCACACTACTTTAGATCTGTTGTCGTAAGTCATGGCTGAGATCCCACCCCAGAAAAGCCAAAGAAGAATCTTTCACTGGGTTGTTTAGCTGGAAGTTGAGAAATCTCAAACTCATATGTGAGGGATTAGACCATTTTACATACCTGCATATTTCATTCACTGAAACATTTTTGAAAGTTTGATTACATGCCTTGATCTGCAAAACAAAATATTAATACTAAATGCTAAAGCAAAGGTAAAACAGAAATGGCAAAATGCTGTGACATTTCCTTCCAGTAGTTGTTTGGGCCTGTACTTGTCCTGGGTTTAGCAGAAACAGAGTTTCTGAAATAACAAAATCAAAACCCCAGAACTTTTTAAAAAAATACATTATCTTTTTCACAGGGGTTTAGAATAATCCCTTCTTTGTGATGTTGCCACTGTTAGATAAGTTCTGCCTGCCATGGCATCTGTAATTTAGGTTTCCATTTCTGCACAAGACTTTAAATGCTTATTAATGGTTGCCAGAGAAAAATATTCTTTGCATTGTGTCACAAAGATTGCACATTATTCATAGAGAAATCGATGTAATTTATTACAACCTTAGTATTAGAAGATAGTTACAGCCCTCTTTGGAAGAAATAATCATAATGCTTTCTATACATACCTTTAGATATTTGAGAAAATCCTGTGCCTTTTTGTTTTACACTGAGTTAAGTAGCTGCTAAGTGGACTGCCTTTGGGACAAAGCAGGAAAGTGACCAACAGCCAAATTTGTCTCCAGTTTGATCTCACACCAGAGTCAACCAAATTTGGACAAAACATGGTTTCCATGAGTCAGTAACAGTATTACTATCAAGCACACCAGTTCTCAGGGAAGGTGTCTGAAATTCTTAGTAGCTGCCAAAACAAGACATCTAATCTGTAACAAGAATCCTCTCAATTTAACAATTAGTTATAGGAATTGTCACAACTGGAGAAAAAATTAGTGAGGATTTCAATTTCTGGTTTTGCATGTCACTGACAACACCTAACAGGGAGATGACTGCTTTCTACAGGGGTATTTCCTGTAGTTTTTAGAAACAGTCCATAAGTACATCAAGGTGCATCTCAGGTGTTTTTGTAAATATTATTCAACTTACTCTCTAATTTTTTCTTCCTGAACAGATTTTGGGGGAGCTCCCAGAACACTGTGGCTTTGTTATCATTTCTGCAGTTCCCATCTACTGGCTGTCAAACCTTATTCCTGAAGTAGAACGTTTCCTGCTGTGCTTCCTCTTGGTATGGCTGGCTGTGTACACTGCCCGCGCACTGGCACTTTGGATGGCAGCAATGCTGCCGACATCACAGCTCTCAGCCTTCTTTGGCAACGTCATTTTCACAGCATGCTACCTGAGTGGTGGTTTTGTGATAAGCCTGAAAAACCTCTGGACAGGTAGGCCAAAGCTCCCACCACACCTCCAAACTGAAACATTGATGGTTTCCATCAGCAACCGGTTGTTGTGAGGCTGAGTGTGTCCAGTGCAGGAAAACTCAGCTTTATTTCTACCTTTGCAATTGTCATCTTGGGTGGTGACATCTTGGAGTCAGATTGTTCATTTTGCATCGTTTTCTCCAAGAATGAGGTAAGGAGAAGTTTGGTCAAAAAAAACTCCACTAGTTTTTATATTGTTCCTATTTTTTTTCAGTAAAAGTAATTATATTCAGTAGATAAGGTCTGAGCTCCAGTCTTTATCTGTTGACTCTGTTGACAGTGGGAGTTTGAAAGACATGGATATTAGTGTTCTCTTAATTGTCCACCTCCATGTGACAATATAAAGTATCTCTGCCATTTTGTCCAGTAATGAAATGGTATATATTTACAGCCTGTGGTTGTCAAGAAATTAGACAAACCTGTTGTATCTGGCAGCCACACAGCAGTTTTTGAACTCTCAAGTTGTGTGTATGTATATCAATTTCTTTCTGCCTTTTTTTTTTTTTTTCCTTCCAGTTCCATATTGGTTTTCTAAAGTCTCTTTTCTCAGATGGAATTTTCAAGGAATGATGCAAATTCAGTTCACTGACACCACATATGAAATGCCTTTCGGAAATTTTAGTTTTCAAATACCAGGGAAACTTGTAAGTCACTAATAATCATTACAAACATTTGATAACCAAGTAGAATGCTATTTGTGTGCCTGTCATATTTAACTAGATGCTGTAGGACTCAATTTTGGCAAGCACTATATTAAAATGTGAAGTCACATTATACTTTGTATGTTTCAAATTTGGGCCTACAGCATTCACTCCTTTTGTGCCTTTCTTCTTAGTGGAAGAGAAAAAAGGGAAAAAAACAAAGGGCAACTATTATCTACACAAGGCCCAACTACTGCTTGCTGAAATGGTACAGAAGCTGTGCTCTGTTCCTCAGGAATACTGCAGCCACTAGACATAGCATATGAGTAACCAGCTATCAAACCACTCCGAGAGTTACAGCCTTCTGGAGACCAAGGGGAAGGGCGGCAGTGACCAGACATTCACAAAAATTGTGTGTCTGTTCCCTAGTTTTGTGTTTTCCATGGTTACAGGTGATACAGTCTATGGACCTGGACTCCCACCCTCTCTACATGAGCTACCTCGTCCTCACTGGCACCATTGGCACTTTCCTGTTTTCATACTACCTGTGTCTGAGATTCATCAAGCAGAAATCAACCCAAGACTGGTAACAGCAAACCACGCAAAGGAGGCAAGAACCCAGGGCAAGCTCACACGCTGATTTTCTGTGCAATGAGAGCGGAGCCGCGGGGCCGGCTCGCCGCAGGATGGCAGCAGCACACCGGGAGCCGGGAGCCACCGGCTTCACTTCGGGATTGCAGCCCGGAATTGGGGCTTGGGAGAGGGTTGGGGGGAGGGTGTTTTTGTTTGACGTACCGGTCTTATAGGTGACAAGACGCTTATGATTTCACCACACCTTGAAATATTCTGAGCTATGGGCCAGCGATTTAGAAGGGACCCATCTTGCGTAGTAAGTCCATCATGTTTGAATATAGAGTGATCACATACTTCTGAGCAAACAGCATCAGCAGACACAAAACACTGCTTTCCGTAGCCTGTATAACACTCAGCACTCAGAAGAACAGCCTAGAGGAAAGCAACACAGAAAATTTCACTGGTGCTTCAGGAGAACACGAAGTATGGAAAACACACCTGTTAACTGTGCAGGTTCTAATTGCTGATGTGCTTTAAGGCTTTGCCTCTGTGTACCATTTCAATGCCGTTGATGCCCCAGAATGGGTATTTACTAGCTGTACAGTTGATTTCTAGTAACAGAGCAAATTATCTCACCTTCTTGAGTTTATTTTTACAGTATAAATACATTCCAAGTGATTGTTATCAAGCTCATCTTTCTCCGTGGCAATAAAATCATAGCAATTTGCCAAGTTTGGTTCCTAAGATTTTCAGGTAGAAAATACCTACCTGCCCCTCCAGTAATTAAAAATGTAATGATGCTATCTGTGAAACGCTTGTAATGGTGCACCTAGTTATGCTCAGACATAGGACACAAATGCTCACAAAGTGACTAAGGGTAAATAGATGGCTATAATTCACCTGCAGTCACAGCAAGTGTATGTGCAAATTATGTATACAGTTCTTGTGAGGATTTTATAACATTCACGTGCTTGGTTTTTTATTTGGATGCATATCTCTGCGCTTATACACAGAGACACAGAACATGTTGTCTGCTCTACTTTGATTTACATGTTGCACACAGTGTGAAATTCCTAGTGTAATCAGCTATAACACCCTGAATACTGTTATGCAAATCTCTCCCCCCCTCTTCTTTTCTTTTAAGAAATAAGATGAAAGAACATCAGTATTTTATTATTCTATTTGGCCATTAGGACTGCCACATTACTTTACACAGGTTCCATGTGGTAATAAATTCCCAGGCAGGCTGTAGTCTAAAGGTGTTAAGCAGGTCTGATTAAATAACAGTTTCAGCCCCAGGCAGCAACAGGAATCCAAATCCATTCCAAGGTTCTTCTAAGGTGAATTCTACCATTTCTTCCAGGTTCTGTTGCATTTGATTTTGGAAAAAAAAAACCCAACAAACCCCACTTGATCTGATGCTAGTGCCATTTTGAAATTATCAGATTTTCATTGCCTTTTAATGGCAAAGCCAATTCTTTCAGTCCAATTCAGCATCATTAAATTGTCAGACTAGCAGCTTCCTGTTTGATTCTTAATTATTCCTTTTTATTATATTTAAGACACTTAATTTTTTTAAAGTGGTTTACTCTTCTTTGTAATGATCTGTTGTGATTAGAATCTCTTTTATATTACACTGAAGTTTTAAGGGTATATATTGGTACTTCTAGTCTAAACCTCTATTTTCAAGGTATTTAGAGGATTAAATTCTAGGCTGACTCTCTGTTGTGAATTCACTTTGATGTTTAATAAAAAAAAAAAAGGAGCGACACAATGGGAGAAATTAAAGACATAAGGGACAGCTCTGAATTTTAGGGGCATATTGTCATGCACAGAAATCTTCAGGCATCTAGATAAGAATATACCATAGCCTTAACTTTGAATTTCTTTCCTTTTGTGAAATTAGTCAGGCTGCTGACATTACTTAAACAGCCTTTTTCAATTTAAAATTCCACCCTCTTTAACATTATGCAGCAGGACCAAGCGGTGTGAGTGTTTCCGAGGTGGTGTTATGACAAGGGTGGATATATACATAATGGGAACTTGAGTGGTGAGCCTCGGAACAGCCATCGTATGGGGTGTAGGAAGAGCTATCATAGGATGCGGCCAGGCCTGTGTTTACACAGAAAAAGCTCATATTCTATATACTACAATTACATTAACACGCTGCCTATGATCATATCTTGTTTCCTTGATGCCTAGAGATGGGGAATATAGGCTGTGATTATTGTTACAGGCTTTAGCAATAAGAAGATGGGAGCCTTGAAATACCAGCAATTAGCGTTGGTGCCTAACAATAGCATGCCGTGGGGCTGTGTACCGGGAAAAGCACAGGGAAGAGCGGGTGGATGACACACCACCTGCCCCACTCGCTCTGCCAGGAGCTGAAAATAGTACGAGTTTAGGGGGAATTACCCACCTCCCAGCCAATGAAGGTCACGCTGTATACCACGGCCTCTGCCTTCGTGTCCTGCTTCACATTAGTTTTGTGTGGTAAAGGTTTCACACTTCCACAGCGGAGCTGCTGCTGCTGCAAAAACAAGTGGACAGTGAGGGAATAGAAATCTTCCTGAGAGTTCAAACCAAGGCTAAATGTCTTAATTTAACGTCAGCACAGCTCTGCTTTCCAGGTCTCGAAGTAGCCGCCCTGTTTCCTCAGGACTGCCCTGTGTCAGCAGCAGCTCCGTGTGCCCTCCTGCCTACATCAGTAAAACCAGCTGCAGCAGTCTGCAACCATCTCAACACAGAAACTAAAGATCACAAGCTCACTGTGCAGAACTCACCATCCTGTGCGTCCCACACACGACAGAGTTCAGTTTGTTATGGAGTTTAAGCACTGCAGTGAGGCAGATCTGTCATCTAAGTGGAGGACTGCCTGTGGAACAAGGCCACAGGCCTGAGGATTCACCCACTCCCGCCTTTGCTCTCCTGTATCCTCCCTGGCCAGACTCAAAAAGGACCTCCTTGGCCCTAAGTCACTGTCCCTGCTGGGGCAGACAATCAGGACAGTGCAGGACGGGCTTTGGAAGGGCATCATGCTCAGTTGGTTACGGAGTTTCCAAGTTGTTTTGCCCAGACGTCGTTTGAGCTGCCCAGTGCGGGACATGAATTGCAACAGGCTATGGGGTTTCAGCCTGCATACACAGCAAATTTGGGAACAGGAACATCAAATACAAGAGACAACAATATCTGTAAGGAAAACTCACCAAATCCAGAAATAAAAAAATCTGTGTGGGTTAAATGGATACTATAAAGCACGGTGTGGACAACAGAACTGCATGCTGTTACACCACCTCTGAGTACTAAAGATGGCGTCTTACCTGTAAAGAGACAGGTAAGAAAGGTCTTTACTACTGAAAGTATTTAATAAAGGGAGAGGTGGAAAGTTCTTCCCCAGCCTCCACTCCAAGTTTATGCAGCCTCTCCACTTGGCAAAAGGGACAAACTTTTTTAGCACTGGAAAATGGATTATAGAAACACTGCTTTGCATATTGGCTCGTGGGTAGTGGCAGTCCTCCAAAATACTTTTAACTCGTCGTTTGGCAAGGACTAGCTTTCACTATGGCTAAGCTAAATTAATAAGTAGCTGCTGAAAGTTTCATCCCGTATTTGTTCGTCGCTAAATGCATTCAGAAATGCTAAGTAAGTAACAAGTATCAATAGCCACCCCTTTTAATTAAAAAAGACACCCATGAAATTCCTTTAAAAACAGGTAAATCACGGACAACATGCTAAGCAGGGAGGTGAGAAATTGCAGGTGTTGGTATGTCCAGTGGTACCAGAAAGAGCAAACCTTTCAGGTTTTAGCCACAATGATTAATTTTACTGGCAGTAGACAAGAGAGAAGGTACATGGAGCTCTGTGACATGCTGCTTTTATTCCTGTTACACTCTGAGAGCCAAGACAAGCCCTTCACATGTTAGCAGCTATTAATTAAGGCAACAATGTTTAAGCAGTGGGTTGAGGTAATTTTAAAACCACTTAACCCTTTTAAGAACCGATGAGCTTTAAAAAGCATACATATGTGCGTGAGTTCATATTAGCATGCATATGCAGAGGTATCTGCACAAATAGATTACATATACATGTACATACACACACAACCATAATGCCTATGATAGCTCCTTTTTGTTTTTTTCTTTCAAGGAATAACGAAAAATCAAGTGCTGCTGCCAATTTATGTAATTAATTATAAAACTGTTTGTTGACGTTTAATCGCTGAATCAAACTTACGGTTATTCTGAATTGCAAATTTTGTTGGCATTATTTTGCTTTTGTGGTTACAATTAGGTACTTTCATGCTTAGATAAGTAATTTTGTGGTTACAATTACGTACTTAACGCTTCCAGTACTAAGAAACTGCAGCTTAATAGACCCCTCAACCTTCACATCACAGCTCCAGAACCAGCATCTCCCATCAATGACACATGTGGATCTTTTGCTCCTTTTAAGGATCTAACCAGACTTTGCCTAGATTACTGGCATGCTTACCGAGATCAGTACTGTTTCTGCCTCACCTTAATTCTTCATGTTGAACAATTGGGTTTAGAAGCATAAATGTTAAAAGACTGGCCAGAACCTATGTGGTGAGTAAAGCACCAATGCCACCTGTCTCAAAAATAATCTGTACACAAGCGAATTAGCCCACAAGACGGTCATCTACTACTTCAGTAATGAATTTTCGAGCAAACACAGAGCAGCTGGAAATCTGTGAACATTCACAAATAGTCACAAGCAAAATGCAGAGCATGTAATTCACAATAAATTCCCAATGCCTTGCAATAACACAACCATATGAGGTACAGCTTACATTGCTCTTCAAAGCAGTACTGCTGCTGAAGGAAGTTTAACAGGGCTGGGGGAAGAGTTTAGAAAACAACAACAGAAACTTTTTTAATATGAAAAATAGACTTCGTGTTTCACTAGGAAAGACAAGAAAAATGTGGCCTCGCTGCTATGCTGGTCTGGCCTTCAGCAGCAGCTCCTCCCTGACACCAGGGAGGAGTCATCTTTCTTCTTACAATGCAAGACCCAATGCCAAAGAGAGTGGCCTGAAAGAACTGAGTATTACCTTAAGGATTACTTTTCAACAAACACCCAGATCTTCTACTACTCTTAGATGAAAATAGCTGATCACCTCATGGCAGTGCTTCAACTCACTGTAGAAAGGTATAAAGCCAAAAAAAGGGACTTCCAAACCAGGCAACAGCAAAATATGCTGCCTCAACTGAAAACTTGGAGAAACAGGGCACATGCTGCCCTTAATTCACTGGTGCCAGGTGCAGGATGTTACATTACACAAGGCAGTCACTGCATTTCCAAGTAAGCCAGAGACCAAACTTGTGGTAGCCATCACCCCAAGAGACTGATCTCTGCTGAGAAAGGCAAAGCACCAATAATATTTCGCTCTTTCACCCTTAATACAATTAGTATTAGGAAAAACTCTTCCCTGTGAGGGTGGTGAGGTGCCCAGGGAAGCTGTGGCTGCCCCATCCCTGGCAGTGTTCAAGGCCAGGTTGAAAGTGGCTTGGAGCAAGCTGCGCTAGTGGAAGGTGTCCCTGCCCATGGCAGGGGTTGGAACTGGATGAGCTTTAAGGTCCCTTCCAACCCAAAACAGAATTCTTGCCTTCCCCAAATCCTACAAGTAAGCATGTAAAAAGCATTTTGGCTAAGTATTATTATTACCTAAGTGCACTATCTAATGACAGCAGAGCTCAGCACCCCAAACACTTTAGACACGCTTGCTTCAGGTCTATCCTTTCTAAAAGCAAGACAAAAGAAAGGTGAAGTAATATTTTTACCTTTATATACTCCATAGGGAATTTCTCAATGCTTCTGTATCGGAAAAATGCCTTGCAGCTTTGTAGTATGTTCAGTGACAGGCGCATGATAAATTTCCACTGGAAAAAAACTCTCAACCATGACTGACAATAGTAAAGCCACAAATGACCGTAATTTTATGCCCCCTGCAGCTAGTGGTATAAAACATAGTTTTCAACCTTGTTTTTACTTGCTGAATTTAGACAAATTTATAATGTTATTGATGACAGCAAGAAAGACACTCAAATGCAGAAATTGTATTCCTGGGCATAAAACAATTGGAGCTCTGTATTTTATATGTACTATAGATGGTGAAAGATATGGCTGTCATTAAAACTATAAAAAGATAGAAAACTAAAGGGGTTTTATTTTGAATTAATTTCATATTATATACATTATTATTTATTTTCAGCTATTGCACTTGGTTGGGTTTTTTTCCTCCTCCCTGGTATGCTGGACAATTATAACATGTGGTATAACTGCCTGTTAGCTTCCTCACTCTGAGCATTAATGTTTGACATACAGGCTGAGTCAACAAAATCCTGAAGGAAAGCAAGAACCTTGTTTAAGCAAAGTCTATGCATATACGGCTCCTAACAGGTTTTCCAATACTCTATCATATGTCCAATTTCTAGAGTGTAACTTTATTCACAAAATGTTACAAGGGCCCTAAGACTGGACAATTGCTAGAGATTATCAAGGTTTACAGTTTACCTAGCTCCTATTACCTGAGCTGTTCAAGCCATGGGCTAAACTGAGCAGAGGGAACTCCCAGGGAACACTTCAAGTAACAAGGGCAGTTGCTGGATTTAGTTTTGGTTTAGGCAGGAAGGTTTTGTTGGGCAGCGGGCTCAGCACCCTGGTGCAGTTGCTTCAGTTACAGCCTCATGTCAGGCTGCAAATTCGGTGTCAGAACATACAAAGAAATTGTACCAGCCTCAATGCCAAATGCTGTCCCACGTTCAGACTCATCTTTAGAACCACCCAAAATTACACTAATAACACACTCCTACAGCTGCTTTTGAATTTGAGAAGTGCAGTTTAAGAGGCCGCTGCTGAAACAAACTTCCTTTGGGATTTTTGGCACATGATGATTATGCTCCTGTTTGAGTTACCCAGATGTACTCACAGGGCTAGTACCAGCATGACTCGCCACGGTGGAGAGGCAGGAGAGAACCAGACAGCTCTGATCAATCCTTCACTGCCTCTTTCTTGAGTTGGGTTTAGCAGTCATCTTACCTTTCACAACTCTTGCTGCTGTCACTGCTTTCTTCCCCAGTGAACCTCCAGAAGTGAGTGGGTGAGGAGGAGACAGTGAGAGCCATGAGAAAGGCAAAGACGCACACTGGTGTGTCATCGATCCTGGCTGCCAGTGAGCTGAAGGCTGCTCTTTCCACTCATGGTCGTTCACTCACAGTCCAACCAGCCCAAGGCATCACACTGAAGCTGTTAGCTGCTTCTTCTTACCTCTCATCCTTCCCACCTAGGCATCTTCCCAGACCTTCCCATCCCACCAGAGCTCCTCTGTGGCAATCTTGTCTTTTGACTACTGTTCTTCAGACCCCCTTCTCCTATAAATAAAAATCCAGCACCCAGCAAAACAGCCTTTCAACAGCCTTGAAGGAGGTTAGCCAGGCCAGTCCCATCCTGTCAACACCCCTCTGCTTTCCTTCCAGCCGAAAATGTTCTCCATCTTAAAATCCACCCTCCTCTCCTCCCCTGAAGATTCATCTTGATGATTCATCTGATTCAGGTACAGCTCTTGCCATTACTCCACTTCCAGAGCTGCCCTGGTCTCAGAGACTATGCAAAGACCTGCAGATGCAAAATATTTGCAAACCCCAAAATTAAATTTACTGCTGGTTTTCAAGACTCATTGCTTTCACTATGAGACACTGATGCTCGATGTGTTCTGAACCTTAAGTTCAGTGGCACTTCGAGCTGAGTGAAATAACTATAAGAAACAGAACTAGGAGGAGGTGTGGAGCTACTGCTGCAGACAATAGCAATTCTATAGCTACCACTGCTTTATCATGGTGTTGTAAGGGTTATCACATGAGAAACTGTGAAGCATTAGCCAGCTGTAATATAGAGGTTTAGGAGCACCAGAGAGAAACCTTGCATTAATAGTTTTATCTAAAAGTAGATCAATGGGGAATCCCCGTCTATAGCAGGCACTGCATAAGACAGTCTCTATTATCTCATTTTTCTTAATTACAGGAAACAGCAGCGAAAACTCTAACCTCAAACTTCCGTGTCTGCTTATTTCCATACCTAATGGGAATTTCAGAACTTCGCTCCTATAAGTGAAGCTATGCACACTTGTACTCAGAAAGATGCCCTGGGACTAAATGAGAGTGTCAGTTGGAGCCACTGACTTAAAAGGCCTTCCTCTGATTACTGACTGACAGAAGTACTGGCAAAGCACCAGGGACTGCAGCCATTCTACAAAGGAAACCTCTTTTTGCAGTTGACTTTGCACAGAAATTATGAGAATAATTTTAAGGAATGCAGAGAAATCTTTGCTTAAAAAGGCTAAATTCAGTGCCCGTCTCAGCTTTTTCTTACATGCTCAGTTTTATCACCTTTACAGCAACAATATACTGCTGCAGGAAATGAGCCATTCCTTCTAGATGCTGACAGATTTCTCGTGCTGAAAATCCATCACTTCTGTCACTTCCTCCTCTGCTGTGTTCCTGGCGTCTGGAAGCACCACACGTTCGAGAAAACCATTAAGTACGGTGGCACTCTGGTGAACATGCTGCCAGTTTATTTCTCTGTCACTATGTGCACTCGTAATGCACTACCTTCACTGTTACGATCCTCCCTCATTACTGTAAACTGCAGCTGGAATCCTGCTGACTCAGGCATTCCATCTGTAAAACCCTTCAGAGCTGTCACTGCCAGAGACACCATCCATTCAGCCATTCCAGTTTCAAAAGTGAGTACATATTAAGGAAGTCTGGACAGCTACTAACCCACCAAGCTACATTTCTTTCTGCAGAAAAGGGTCTCAGGAGACAAGCTGAACAAGCTGCTTTAGTAGATCAGAACTACAGCATGTAATTATCATGCTGCAAAGTGACTATATTGGTGGTTAACAAGGAAACTTTTCTCATGTGGAGCTCAGAAAGTGCCCTCCTCCTGCCCTACCTCAAGGGCAGTGGGGTAGGGGGAAAGAGGCGAGTCCATGATGTGGCACAGGATACATACAGAAGTGAGATTATTCATCATCAATTCATCTTGATCCAAGCGACAAGCTTTTCCCAGTCCTCTCAACCCCAATCAAGACATGCTATTTATGCAAACACACAGAGATTCCCCCAGTTTGCTTTTTACAGTAACGTCAGGTCATTTCATATCAGCACACTCTCAGCTTCCCACAATGGCATCTGGAAACACGTGCTCCAGTCTTAGGGATACCACACCTGGTCTGGATCCTGCCCAATCCCAGTTATCCACTAGCTGGTGGCAAACGATTCTTTTCTGCTTTAAAGGAGTGTGTGCTGTGTCAGAATGAGAGGGTACATTTGGTTTCTGGACTTCAAATCATCACTAGTTCTCCAGGCTGCTGTTCTGCATTTTGTCACCTTACCTTCTTTCTTTGCATATGAAGAAATAAGCACTGGAGCTACCTATTTACTTGGTGAAGAAACACCAGCTTTCTAAACTGCATTTTTCTTCATGCTTGAAATGACTGAGTCTCAGCACACCAATGCACGAGAAATACCATTTCAAGCGTATTCTCTAGAGGAGTCAGCACAAATGCCTATTCTGCAAAACCTTCCTGGTGTAACCCCGTTTCAGACTGAGATGACAGTGTCCTGGAGTGGCACAAATCCCTCACTGTCCCACATTATTAAGACAGGAGAGACTGCGCTCCTCCATGTAATCATTCCTTAATTGCATACGAAACATTCACTGGAACAGAAAATCAAAAGTACTGCCGCATAATGGCAGCTTTTGTCTCTCTTGCATGATCTCTCCATCTCTGCCACAGGGATCCATGGGCCTGGGCTACTGTAGCACGATCCCAAATGATCAGTGTGCACCTCCTCCCACTACTCCGCTACTGTTGCTACAAAACCCTGGTGCTGTTCCGTCTCCTGCTCCTGCAGTGCCTCACTGATGTTTAATCGGCTCAGCCCAGAAGTTTCCATAAGGTTACTCAAAATGCAATTTCATAGCTGAAAACAATTTAACTTACATTCTTCAGTTACAGGCTATCAAATTCATTTTCCATTGCCACAGCTGCAATGATTAAATTATATTGCATTATTCTGTTTGGTTCAAGTCAAGCCAGTTAGAAAAACATACAGATGCTAGCTAACTAACACTAACCCTGCATGGTCAGACTTATGTACAGGGACCAGCAACATGCAGCCACATTTGGCTGTGGCTTGGTGTGCTTCTCATCTGCCCCAGCAGGCAGCAGCCAGCAAACAGGACCTGTCAGCATCACAGCACAGATTCAGGCAGGGTACAGCATTGAACAGTCAGTTGCACCTGGTCCACAACCATGAGATACCACCTCCTTGTCACAAAGGTAGTTAAGGTCTACAGATCCGCTGTCAATTTCCTCTGGTTCTCTGGCCCGGTGTTTGCTTCAAGCAATGCTCCTTTCCTCACCCTACATGCTAGCTTAGCTCAAGCAGCACACAGGCCCAATGCCTCATTACACTCTGATGTGATTCCTCTTACTGGAGCACAGCTACCATGTGAACCTGAGAGATTCCTGAGATGACCTCTAACAAAAAGAGCTGTGGCACTAGAGAAAGTGTTGCCAACTGGTTGACAGTCTTCAATTAAGCTGCTATTACACTAAAACACATGTAATGTAGGTGTAGCTTTAGAAAAAAACCTAAAACATCTCCATTTGTGAAATGAAATAAACCGAGCATTGCTGAGGCTTGCTTTTAAGCTAGGGCACACAACCATTAGGCTATGAATGAAATCTCAAATGTTAATACCTCATCTTGACAACCCAGGAACAAAGGGTGCTGAGTGGTCAGGGCCATGTAGGTGCAGGATGTTGGTGAGTCTCTGCTTGTGAAGTAACGAAGGTCATTGTAAAGCCACGGCACCAATGGGGCAGATACAGCAAGGACTCATCTAGTTGGTTTGGAAAACAAAATTTCTGACTTTTCTCAGCTCCTGATTAGTTTTGCCTTTTTTTTTTTAAGCACAGCAAGAATTTTCTGTGTATTTGCAAATATATTACGTAAGGAACTGGAAATTTTACTTTAAAAAATGAGGTCCTAATTGCTTTCTAACTTTCAGATTACTGTCCAAGCCTTCCAATCTTTTGCCAAAACCTTGTGCGCACACTTGAATTTTTAACAACCAGTGCTGTCTATGTGGAACAGCTTAGCAAAAATAAGGTTAACGAACTGAAAACAAAGTTATTAAATGCAGAGAAACAAGCTTTCATTTCATTAAATCCTGTCTGACATACTGCACAGGCACTATATTACACTGGTTAGATAAATGTGCACATTTGTGAGTTTCCAATGATATTTACAGAGATAACGGATGCATTTTCTATGCATTCTTTTATTTTTGTTATTTGTAAGTCTCTATTTTCACGATACCACAGCTCTGGACTGTGAAACGTCACACCAGGTAGGCGTGACAGTAAGTTTACTCTTAATATTTATATCAATCAAGTGCACCCACCAGACTCCAAGTAAACTCTGCTACAATCACAAGTAACAGGCACTTCTTTGTTTAAAAGGCACATTTTCATGGATATGCAGTTCTTGTATCCATAAAATTAACTGGAATAATAGTTAGGAGAATGAATTAAAGATGCTATAGAACTACAACACACAAGCTAGTGTAAAAGGTGGAAGTATTGTGTCTTCACCTGTAATGTCAAAAGCCCTAATGAGATACTCAACACAAGAGAAGTACATGTAGGAGAAGTCTAAAAAAAGATGTGTTTATTTTCCTTGTAGATACAGATGAACCCTGGAGATTATGTTCTTTACTCTTCTACTATCACTCCAAAGTACATTGACCAGGCAAAGAACAGAAGACAGATTCCTTAAGTTACAGTTACATACCCCTCTGGCAACTTCCTTAATAAACATGTATTTGGTGAACCAATGGAAGCCAAAATACAGTTGAGGTTACAGCAGATCATACATCAAGACAGAAAGAGCCAAGAAAGCTGCATCTTGATACTTCATTAGCAATTTTAAAAGCATTTCTATTAATGAACATTTCTATCAATCACAACTATGGAAAGTGATGTTTAAATACAGATTTATGTTAAAAATTACACAGAACAACATGCTTTTTACATTTTTTTATTGAATGTAATATTTAACCAATTTCATAAACAACTAAAGCAGAAGAGACTGTTTGCTCATAATGCTTCCAATCTTCTTTTCTTCCATTTTTCCACATAGACCTTGAATGTCTCCTAGAAATAGAGTGGAATAAACAAGTTCAACACTGTTCCAACTGAAAAGTTACTAATTCTGAACAAAGTGTTATGTCCTGACAAAAGCAAAATCTATTATTCTCTGTCATGCAAAACTAGATCTGTATTGAAGTCTGTATAATTAAGAAAAATACCAGAGAGAGAGAATAAAAGGAAAAGGAAAACCTTGCCAAAAATGCATAATGAAGCTTCTATTACAAAATGCAATAATATAATCAATTTCATTTTAAAAATGAAAATACTTTTTAACTGCAATCTGCAATTGTGTCAAAAAAATTATGAGATGCTTTTAAACACCAAGCTGCATTAGAGAAAAACTGAAATCGGGGAAATCAGAAAATGAGTTATTTCAGTGACTTTAAAAACACACTCTTGTCTTCACTAGCTACATGTAAGAAACAGACATTCTAGGATTTAAATCTGCAAAGTCCAAATAAAAATTGTGATTATAAGTTATGTCAAGATTGCAGGAAAAACTCCACAGCTGTTAAAAGGCTAAACCAAGTATTTTATGCCAAGATTTTCTCCAATTCTTTCTGAGATGAGAAATGAAAAGATCACATTTATGATGTAGCAATATGGAGAAACAGCATACAATCAGGTGTTTACAGAACTACAGAAAAAAAACCTTTTAGAATATAAAAAGCAGCTAGAAAATGGCAATTAAAAGTTTGCTTAGAGAGAGACAAAATACATTAAGTCTTTAAAGTCTGCTTTGCTAAAATGGTTCTAGTAGACTGCTGGTGAAAAGAATGATGTGTATTTACGGTCTTGACAGATTTACCATTTGTCATCCTCAAATAAGGCATATTTGCAGGGTTGCATACATCTGTTGGTAAGGCAGCTAGAAGCAAAGCTGCAACAGAAAACTAATTCCTACAGTTCTAAAATGCCATCCTACCAAAGCAGCAACTTGTACTAGACAGAAACCGGGTAATTAATGAAAACTAAGCCCCATTAATTGTTAAGGAAATACATTCTAGAAGCCTTTTAAAGTTCAATTGCTTAGATAAATGCCCCGAGGACATTTGATAAAGGTACACCTGTAGCTGAGTGCCTGGTAAGGATCAGGTAGTTTAAATATTGTAAGCCCAAGAGGTTTTATTTCCTCAAGTCAACTCCGATGCAAGATTACTGTAGCTCCTATACCACTCAGTACTTCACACGTTACCTCCTTTGAGGAGGCTCTGCAGAGATCTAATCCCCATGTAATCATTCGTGCAATTTGTTTTATTAACACTGAACATACACAGTTCTGCAGATCTATTTCTTAATTAGACAATACTCACAGGGGGCTCAGTGAAAGGGACAGGCTCTCCTGCTTTCTTCAGAAAAGCTGCTATAGATTTCAGAGATAGCTCGTGCAGCTTTATATTCTTCTCTTTTGTTTTCTCATACAGAGCTTTCACAGAAGCAACATCCCCATCCAATTCTGAGGAAAAAAATCCCAAAACAAACCCAGTGATTAAATGCTCCTCTTTTCACCTGTTTCCATGATGTCATGCACTCCTACCACTTGCCAAAACATATTATACATATTTTAATATACAGTATTCCAAATATTCTGGATACTCTTCGTATCCTACTGACAATTCATATAAAAGAACAACACAGGCATTCTAGCTTTCCTTTTTATTGGAGGCTGGATGATCAAGTCCTTCGAGCATGTGCTGGAACCACGTAAGAGTAGGAGCTGTATGGTAAGAACACACCACTCTAGGTGTGTCTTTCCAAAGCAAATGATAAAAAAGAAAACCTAAAACCTAGCTAAAAGCTAAACCAAAAGCCACCCAAACTCAGAATGTGAAAAATCTAGGACAGAATTTCATTCCCCTAAGTAAGGGCAGAATATTGTTAGTTACGAGTGCTGGCTACATCACCGCTATAACCAAGAGGAACAAAGAAAGCAAAGGTCAGATGCTCATGTTAGAATACAAAATTCATTTCATCCCACTGAGTAGGAAAAAACTTTTGCTGACCCACTAACATTATTTAAAACTATAACTGTTCATGTAACCAGTAACATTCTTCTGGCTATTCCATAGAAGGCACCCTGCCCTGCAACAGGTTCTAGCTAATCCATTCTTCATTTATTTAAAACACTATTTACACTTCTAGCTGTAAAACAGTGGGGTGTATGTTTCTCATTCCTCTAAACTGGGAGAGGGAATGAACTCTTCCCTTTACTTTGAGTCTTTCTTAGCCAGACTTTTCTACTGCTCAGACATTTGCTTCAGAAGCATTAGGATGACACTAAAGTGACCCCTTACAGTTTCACTGTAGTCGTCAGGATCCTAGAAGCAGTACAACAGCTCCTATCTGGCACCTTGTGAACCAAAAGCAAGCCATTACGTTCAGTTAAATTCATTTTGCTGCTTGGGAAAATGCAAACATCTCCATCACGGGAGCTGTCTCAGGTCTTACTTGTTCACATTTGGAAATGCCATCTGCATGACCAGAGCGGCTACAAAAACAATGGTTATTAAAGGAAAAAAAACCAAACCCACACAAGCTTTAATTACGCAGAAATGGACAGCTTGTGTCCCATTCTCATGAGAAAACGCTTTCCAGTCATATCTGGCAAGTGGCTGAGCAACTTTATGAATGTGGGATGTTACTGCAGAAAACTGCATGAAGCTTAATGAAATCGAGAATAGAAAATTAATAGAAACTGTTAATTTTCTATTTCTTTAAAATAGATACATGTCTTGTATGGAAGACAAAAAAAAAAACAAAACCCAACAAACTAATACTTAGGTAGCATTTAATGGACCACCCAAATGTGATTTTACACATTTCCCTTTTCTAGAAGTTATCCATAAAAGATCATGCACCTCACCAGATGGAGAAAGTAAAGTCCTGGCACTCCTGAATCCTATCTCAGGATAGGGAGAGGAGTCAATGTCCCCTTATTTGTTCAGTTGTGGATGTCTGATATGCGATCAGACTTTTCAGCTGTGGCCTACATTCTATTGTATCTTTGCTAAATACATAATTATTGTTTGTCCATTTATTTTCATAACTAGCAACAGTAACCAAGTGTGGTAGTAGCACTCTGTTATCTTTCATTCCCCTTTCTAAATAATTACAAGTAATAATGGACCTAGAAAATGATAATACTACAAGGTTGAACTTGACCCAAAATGAGAAATCATGTTTTAAAGCATACTAACTGTAAAATGGTAAAATAAAATTAAAATCTTTTAAACAGAACACCTTATTTCTAGCCCTCTTGGCTAGAACACAACCAGGCAAAGCCTTCTAAATTTCAGCTGTGCTAAGTATTTGCTGATGATCATTTTAACAGCCAAATGAAACTAACCTACTCACCACTTCAGAAAGTATCGAAAATGGAAAAGAAGGGATGATGGAAAGAGGTACCTAAATTGTTGTGGGTGTGTACAGGTCTGACTATATTCTGTCACCACATACTACACACGGTAATAATGTCCCTGAATATCCTAAGAGTAGGACACAACCTGACATCCTTAGAACAAAAATATGCATAGAAAATGCAAAGATGCCCTAGTATGACTCAACCAGTCCAGCCACGGTGAAGTGGATCAAGATGTGCACTCTTCTACTCAATACTGGAGTGGAAATCCCCGTTTCCTACAGGCCAGATGCTTGTCGAGAATAACCCGGGAACAGCTTTTAAAACTGTTCATGCTGGTACTGAATGTCTCCTCTAGAACTTGCCACAAGCCAGATGTATCTCTGCCTAAGAAACCACAGCAACCATCTGTTCATCACATACAGTGTGGCTTTGCATGTTGAATACACTCTCACCGCTCTTTTACATATCATACAGCAAGTGACTGATTCTCTGCAATCTCTTTATGAAATTGTTATACTATGATGCAGTTGGCAAGGGTACTGAAAAAATTACTTAAATCAGTTATGGAGTTTCTACTGGGGTAAAAAGGAGTAAAGGGCTAATGCTAACTACAAAGCAGCAAGTACATCCTGGTGATAAAAGGGCGGGTTTTGTTTTATAAAAACATGTTAGGAAACTCACCCTGCTGTGAATGAAGCCATGGGGCTAAACCATTATGGTAGTGATTGCTGTTTTGAACATTACTAAGCAAGTGAAACTTGTAAGCTAGCTACTACATCATGAGAACTTCTACAACTTCATTCAAATACAGCACTTGTATTTCTTTAACAGCGTAACTTGTATTTGGATTTGAAGCATTCTACTTGAGTTATTCCTGTATTATTTCCTCTGTGATAGAATGGAGCACAAGGGCTTCTGTCGTGTATTACAAGCAGAAAGATATAACACATTCAGAGTATTTACACCTATAATAAAACTGGAGGACCGTATCAGAGCACACAAGGCAAATAACACTACAGCAGAGAGACATAAACTTGCAACTGAGTGTTGCCACAGGGGCTACGTGCTGGATTTTCATGGGTGAAAGTTGCAGATATACATATTTAAATAAGCAACTTGATTTTTTAAGAGCTATTCCTCTCCAACTATAATGAGAACTGATTAGCACCTCAAACCAACTACTTGGGAATATCGAAACGAAGGCCCCTGGAATATTAATTTTGGCTAAATTAAAACAGGTATAAAGAACCTACACTAATAACAGTAAGGTCCTTTGACATTACTGATACTAGTTCTAATGGTTTTCATGACTTTTCTGAATGTCTCAAGAAGTCTTACTAAAAAACTATTCCGGACAATACATTACCGTAACATTTCATGAGGTAACAGTATGCAATTTCTTGATCTAGATGCTTAGGAATCAGTTCCAGAAGGGTCTCGATCATCTTTGCCTACAAAATATAATACACAAAGAGCATTAACTTCAAATCCTAAAGAACAAAATAAAATTGCCAAAGTTCAAATAATTGTGTCAGATCTTTTAAGTGAAATGAACTGCACTGATAACAAAGGAATGGCCTGTACAACCAATGTAGACAACTTCCTTCACAAAATTTTATATGCAGATACGAAATAGTCAAAGAAACTAGGCATAAAAATAAATCAAACAAAATATGGGACTAAGCTCCCTACTCAGTAAGTCTTAACATCAGTTTCTCGCTGTTTTTTTAAAGGAAGCAATCCATATATTAATGAGAATATGTCAGAATCTCAATCAATTAAAAAAAAAATCATGCAAACCACTCAGAAGCCTTAACAGAGGCTGTAGTGGCCATGATCAGTGCTTAAAAGAATTCAGATCACTAATGTGCTTAAATTTGGAACCTCCCTCCCTCAACCTCCGATTCCAGTTTCAAAAACTCTCAGGTCCTGAATTTAAAAAAGTTTATAGAAATTAACAGCATCTTTATCACATGCTGTTAACTTCTACAAGTTATTAAAATTTCAGCTTGAAAAGCTAGAAAAAGCCATGTTTTTCTGATTTCTTCTACAGACACCAAAAGATGGTGTTTATCATCATCATATTTATCACCACTTCAAGTGAAGTTTTAATCTAGGAGTATTTAATGGCAATTTCTACACAACATAAATGTGCAGTTTCCCTCATTTGAAAAGTATCTGTTCTAGTTTGTGTATTAACTGCCTCCTGATGCTGTTCCCCAGTGAAAGAGAAATCAGTGTGGTTTTGTGGTTTATAGAGAATGAGCAAAGCGCCAGGAATCTAAACAGATATTCAAACTAGAAACATACCCAAACCACCTAACCCCATTAGCTGCTGGCTGGGGTTAAACCACGACACAAGTAATATGAAATGTGCCTTTTAATGTAAACACAGAGGCATTTTATCGTTAGATAGAGGCTGAGGTTTTAACTTGCATTTGTATTCACACAATGTAGCAAAAAAAATAAGTACTTTCAGGCTGCAAGACTGAACTGGAGAGTGCAGTAAAACATTTAAAGCACAATGTTTGTGGGGTATAAAGTAAAGCATCAGAAATGCAGGAAATTACTGAAACAATAGAAAAATATTAACTAAACCCTCCTTCTCATCATGCTCCATAAAGTAAATTGTTCCTTTAAATGTAACCAGCTCTGATTATTAACCTTTTCCCTCCCCAAGAAATCTGATAAAGCTATCAACCGTGAAGTTCAAGGTCTAAAACTTCAAAGATTGATGAAATAGTATTCTGCTTCATATACAATGAAATGCATGAAAAAATACTATACCTGTCCAGGCCTAGATGCCGATCTAGCCATAAAATTAATCAAAGCTCTCTTCTCCTCAACTAACGCACCGCACCTCTAAAGAAAAAAGGAATAGTTAATGTATGTCAGAGATAAACAAAATTACTAATCACAGATGTTTAAAATAATATACTAACATACAACCTATTTACAAGGTAATAATAGAACATTAGGTTGAAAAAAACCAACGAAGCAACCCCAAAACCACCATAAAATTACCCCTGAACACAGGAAACAAGTTTGTTTCATGCACCGTTTTGATAAACACTGTTTTAAAATGGAAGGTATAAAGTTTGTTTAAAACAATAGGGGAAAGAATTGAACTAATACTTCAACATACCTCAAAAATGGGTTTAGGACTGCAAAAGAATGAAAAAGAGAAACACTATTCCTCTCCAATTATACTGCCAAGCATTCACAAGTGAGCTAGGGATCATAAGGTTAATTATACATTTAATAAGGTGTCAGGGAGATAACTGCTCGTTTCTTTATAAAAATTAAAATGTACAAAGCAAGTTCTCTTTAAAGTATAATTACCTACACTTATGCATACAAAGGACTGATTTCAATCTCTCTATTTTATAAAAGGCTTTCACTGCAATAGACAGTGTTTGAGAGAGAGAGAAGTTGAACTTGGAAAAGTTTGAGACAGGCCAGATAAAAACCAAAAATCCATCTTACATTAGAAAAAAGGGCAAAATAAAATCTGCAAGACAATATTGTAGTGTATTTTCTTCAAAGGCATCAGTCTCAAGATTCTTACAATGCACAGCGCTTTTTACCAGCTGCAAGACATTTTCAGTACCAAAATGCACAGGAAGAAGAGAATACTGCTCATATAAAAATGCATGTACCATCAATTCACTACATCCAACTAGTGATTTAGACTTATTAAACAAGAAATTATGTAACATGGTCTGACAAGCTCTTTAAGGTCCAAGTGAAAAGGTTTGAAGCCTCATTCCATCAGGCAAACAGACAAAAATATACCTGCAGTGTTCTGACAAAAAAAAATAATGCTTTTTGGAGATAAACTCAGGAGAAATATTCATGGGAGAAACTTGTGACATGTATTCTAGGCAGTCTCATCTACTGTCAGTAGGTGCTGTGAGAGGAAAAAGACAGCCTAGTTGGAGAAATGCTCTCCACAGCCGTCTTTCATGTTGAAACACCAAACCACTTCTGACTTTGTCAGTAAAAGCACCTGCACTCCAGACAGTAAAAAAGTCACCGTTGCTGTCTCTTGAACTGTTATATAGCCTCTTAAATGCATTTTTGAAAGCGAAGTTTCTCCATGTGTATACTAATATGTCAGATTATTGCAAGCAAAATAACTCATTTAGATTGTGAATTACTTTTCAAGAAAATAACAAATGAACAATGATTATTCCTATCTTCTAGTTGCCTATTAGCAGAACAAATGAGCCACAGTAGCCGTCAAGAATGCTTAGCACAAGTGAAAATGTTTCCTACACCATATAAAACCAATATTTTCTCATATACACAGAAGTTTCAACTCCTGCTTGTTTTTGGATGTCCACTTAACATGCAGTATCTACGTTTCCCCCCAGACATAGTGTATAAATGTTATCTCAAGTATGTTACAGAGCCACAAATTTAATTCCAGCAGTTGTATGGTGCGTAGTAACAAGTTTTAGGAAAATATGAATGGAAATTATTCCATGTTTTGAAAAATATTAAGAATTTACAGATTTTACTTTAAATGCAACTCCCCCCTTTCTTCACAGCAGCAAGAAATTGTAAACTATTTGCATTCACTCATTCGATTTCATTAATTTCATCAAAGAGCAGTCAAAATTCAGGAAGAGTAAAAAAAACCTTGAGATTATTCTTTTTTATGTGTCATGCTATATAGCAAGAGGGTTTTATATAAAAACTGTAGTTGCCTTTTAAACTAATACTCAGATGAGCAGTTAGGCAAAGCAATAAACAAAGTAATATTCCAGAGCAGGGAATATACAAATAAGACACCTCACACTGTAGCACAAGTAACTGAACACATCTGTTGGTATGCAAAAAATGGTCTTAGCTGGATGGATGAAGCAGAGCTTTTTCTTTAGCAGCTTAAAATACTTAGGAACTGGTAAACAAGTAGTATGCGCTATGAGGAGATGGTAAAAGGCCTCCCATACAGAACAATCCTCAGACTTAGTGGACTGCCTGACTGCCACCTGCTGGGATGAGTCTCCCTGACAGAGCCTGTTTGTGCACACTCCCATCATCCCACCTCTGGCTTGGCTTTGTCCTTAGCTCTGTGAAAATGGCATGAATGCAGCTGTCTCATCCCTTGAAGATGGCTAACTCAGCTGAGACTGTGGACCAGAAACCAGCGTTTGTCTTTTAACGCATGTGTGACACTCAAGTGAATAGAAAGCAAAATCAGCCCTTAAACCCTGAACACAGAATATCCAATGTTATAGCAACCAAGTGAAATAAAGTCCATGAAAAGCAGACACTGTCTTCTTCTAGTTTGCAAACTGTACAGCTGTAAATTATCATGTTTACAGCACTTAAGAACTGATGTGAGAAGTCGCAAGGAAATGGTTTGCAAGCATTTTGCAAGAAGCAACAGCTTTTGAACAGCAAACATATAAAAGAGTATTTGCTTTGGATGGAACTTCAAGCAGTATAGAACTCTTACACCCTTCAGGTTGTTAGAAGACAAAATACCTTCTGACTCCGGCACCCACTACTAGTGTTAGTACTAACAGCACTAGCCTGTGGTTTGAAATAGCCTAAACCGTGCTACTGCTACGCACACTAATTCAAAAGCATACTAGTACTAACCTATGCTATACAACACCTTTTCCTGACAATTTCTCAGCTAACCTTTGAAGAGCTCTAAGCATTTCTGTACCTCTCTTATTATGTCATTACCTGTATCAGTGATCTGGCATCTTCCACTCTGTTTGCACTGACATATTGAAGGAAAAGATCTGTGACAGGTCTGTAAATTCCATGCTGACTGGCCAGTCGTTCTGCCATCCCACCAACTGAAAAATGATGGGTACATAAGGAAAAAAATTTGATTGAAAAGACACTTTTGTAAACTTCACAGGCATGATTTATGCTGACTGAGCAGGTTTTACATGTAATAGCTCTTTCATAACACCTCTGTCTAGTCAGGCTATTTAAATATCATTGCAATAAACTTACACTTTTCCAAAGCTGGCTCTAGTCCTTCCTCAGACACCCTTCTTAACAAATAGGAAATACTTTGGACACCTCGATCAGGATTCTGTGCACCAGAGATAAGCAGAGGCTCAAGGTATTCCATGGCAGCATCAAGGCTATTCCTAAGAAAAGAGATTGAACTGGTTTAGTTTCTGAAATCAAGATTTCTAAAACTCAAGAAACAATTATATTCAATTCTTTGTTTTCTACATTAAGGTTATATTTCCCAGAATGGGTGAGTACTTGTCACTCAGGTATTGTAAAAGTGAAACCATTTGTGACTGAATGAATAAATTAACCCATAAATAATTTTTTTGACCTTTAACTTGCAAAAAGCCTAAGTAATTTTGACACAATTTTGCCTCAGTAAGAAAGAGAAGTTCTGCTCTCTGTTTTAGGAAAATGTGTTCTGCTAATCTAGAAAGCAAAACCAGAACATTAACAGAAAGCATCTGAATAATTAATGCACGCAACTAAATTTTTTTAATGCTATTCAATTAATTATTTACCCATTTTTTCCCCTGCCTTTTTAGATGCAAAAGACAACACTAAATGTCATTTGCAAGATATTTAAGCATATATAAAGTGTGTACTATTATGCTGCTGCTAAGCCTTTTCATAGGTTCAGACTAGTTGCGGTATGGGAAAAGCAAAGTTGAAGCTGTTTAAATAACCTGTGCCTGCACATAGCAATTTATTTATTTATTCTTGCCACCAATTTACATCTTAAGAACACACAGCATGACTTTGCAATGCTTTTATGACATGGAAATACAGGCAAATATGCAGCTTATGAGACAAATCCTGAAGTTTCTCTACTATTTGAACTGTTGAATTTAGGTAAAAGTCAATGCACTAGAACTGTGTACCAAGGACCACTCAGACCTAAGTATTCACAGGATCAGGTCTTTATAGACAGATTTGTTTTTCAGTAGCTGAAAACAGAGTGAGCTCACTACTGGAACAGGCCTGCACAGCTCTCCTTCAAGTCTTCTTGCTGTTCCAAACACTTCAGTTACTATTCCCTCTGGTCTGCATGCCCAGGCAACCAGGTGTTTGTTATGTACTACACAGTTCTGCAGCTTTCCTGCAGAGTTAGACACAGGAGCTCTACCTGATGAAACTGGTTTGAAATAAAACAGAGTACGTAGGGTTCTTGGAAGACTGGTTCCTGCAAAGCATATTTGAGAAGTTCATAGTATGTCCTTTCTCCCAGAAGTGCTTTCCTCATGCAGTTTTATACAAAGGATAAACTAGCACAGTACCAATGTATCAACTAAAGCAGAAATGCTAGGCAGAAGATGATACTGTATTAAACAGTTGAATCAAAGGATGCTCAAAGTGTGGGGATAATTATCATGATTGAAACAGTGGCCTAAACCAGCGTAGCAGCCGATTTTTTTATAACTAGAAAAAAAAGGACTCCACAGATATATGTCTGACTTTCACATTTTGAAAGAGTAATATTTTGTCATTTCAACTACTGGAACGGGTAGCAGATTTCTGTAGGTGTAGTATGTTAGAACAAAGATACCAAAGCTAAATTACACCACTGTAGAAGACCATATGCCCTCCCAAACGCTTCATAGCTATCCCTGTATTTCATTAAGTCGTTTTCAACCTCAAACATGTTTGGTAAACGATACCAGAACAGAAGTGCACAGCACACTGCTCAACTTGACCAGAATTTTAACAACTAGGACACTGTGATAATGAAATGGATAATGAAAGCAATTTCCCACCACTCTGCATAAAATAATTAAATATACTAGTCCTAGAAATACTTACTTTTTAGTATGAGCCAATGCAATAGCATTAGCTATTAGTGAGGCAGGTATACCAACTGCTTTTGTGCTGTGTTCCAGCATGTCTTGAAGTGCTTGCAGGTTCTTTAGATCTCCTTTTTCTGCCAGAGACTGAATGAGATCCATAACTGCTGATCTACTAGGCAAGGAGCCACTGTCAAGTGTTCCTTTTAAAACAGCCATGGCATCTAATGATGGTAAAGAAACAAGGGAAAAGGAAATCAGATTTTAGTTCAGAATGCAACCATGCTGCTGGTATCATTAACCCTACCCTTTTAAATACATTTACAGAAAATAATTCTCTTGCTGAACTTAAGCCCCAAAACTGCTATAGAGGATAACAACTTGAATATATACACACACTAACAGAAACTTTCTGTTCTGTTAAAATGGAGTACTACAGCATTTTAACCTGAATTTCATCAATAAAATTAAGATACTTCTAAAATTTAATTTAGTACCCAGCTCAAGGAAGGCATCTGTGTCATAAATGGCCTCCTTATGACCATAAAGTCATGGCCTTTTCAGCTTGTTTTTTCTCCAAACTATAACCAATTTTCTTTAAAAAACCCAAAATGTTGCGTGCATAAGAACAGTTTTAAAACGTAATTTATTACTGAAATTGCAAAAGTCTGCTACGCAGACTTGTCTTTTGAAGTGTGCACCAAAACTGTGTTTACCAACATTTAGTTTTTAAATAAAAGCATTGGACAGTTTCCATACAAGATCAAAACCAAACTTGAAATTGGACATTTCCTCAAAAAAATCCTACAATTATAGCAATTACCTATGTTAAAAACATACAAAATCTCTTGTCCATCTACCACAAATTTCCCAAACCCATCACAGTTGAAGTCACCCTCATTGCTCTACCCAGAATTCTTGTCAATTTACGTTATCCATGAGCAAACATCCACAGAAAGACAGGCCCCTCTGGTAAAAATCTTTCACTCCTTACCAACATAGGCAGGATTAGTCACAGATAATAATTATAATACCAAGGGATAACACTCATAATATACACCCACTTGAACTCCACAGCATTAACATTCCAATATGCAGGTACTGCAGAAACGAAGTATTACCTTCTACATGAGAGGAAGAAAAAACATCCTGTATGCCTAACCTCACTCCACAGCAAATTTTTTCTGCTCCCCTCCCTCTCATCCCACCCGCTCCCCCTTTCTTTTTAGGGAAAGAAAAGGAGCAACCCATCAAGGACAAGATTCCCAAAATTTAAAAAGCAAACTTAAAACACATGCTGAAATTCAAATGCTCTCCTGGTGTCCACACTCTCTTTTGCATGGAGCATGCCAGCCTTCTCAAGAACACACACAGAGGAAAATTTGGAAGTTGCATTTTTGTAGCAGTACTGCAAGAAATTATGTACTAGGAGCGTACTGGATAATTCTGCTGGTATCTTTTTATTTTCCCTTATGCAAAAGCATCCATTACTCCTAATCTGAGTTCTTCATTTAATCCCTTGATTTCTTAGTACTTAAAAGCAGGTAACTATGTGCTTGTGAAAACCAACCGTTTATCTTTTAAAAGGCTTTCCTATAAACTCTGCCAATTCCCTGCCATGAAACTTGAGGTCTGACTCTTCAAGTAACCTGGGTTTTACCAAGCTCTTGTTTGGAGATATTACAGCTCTTACAAGTATACTTAGGGACCTACATTACACAGCAAAGAATGATGGTGAATGTAATGAGGAAGTGATAACGCCAGCAAGTTTTACACAAGCAAAAGCCATCACAGGACGCAGGTCAAATGTAGTTAACTAACAATAGATTACAAAAAGACAGTACCCAAAATTTTTCTGGGTAATCAGAAAATGACTAGTCTGGCTGAAGTATTTAGTAGCTTGCATTTTCAAGGGTTCTCCTACAAAAAGAGAAGCAGTATCTTTCAAATTAAAACAGAAACAAGGATCAAGTTGGACTGTTCAATTAAATTACCAAAGTACAGCTTGTTCAATGCAGAAGGTAAAGGAAAATACAGTTTTGCAAAGCAACAGAATTCCAGAGACTTCTTGAGAAACTTCATGTCGTGCAAAAAGAAACATTTTTAGGGTACTGCAAGGGAGAGGGTTTTTGTGGCAGAGAATTTAGTATGCTAGCTAAAAAGCAATCATATAGTTAGCACACGAGACTGGTGGAATAGAGAAACATCCGTGATGTTCTGAAGAAGGGGAGATTTTTCTTCAGTGTAATATTTAGGGAGAATTGACAAAAATCCATTGCATACTGAACGAGAAAAAGCAGACTTGTTAGAGTAAAATCAAACCAGGAAAGTCAGGTGAAGGCCTTGAAAGATGTAAAAACTTAAGACCTGCCAAGAGCAAGGGAAGCAATTGCATTGACCATGTATATTTCAGTTGATAACACCTGGTAATGATGTCAGACTGGAGACTGAAGGGGAAAGGGATTGAAAAGAAGACAAGTTTATGAGCTGCAGAAAGGAGCACACATGAGAAGATGCCTCTCAATGCTTGTCTTAAAGTATGTTAATGGACCTGATATTACACAGGTATGGGCTACTACAGCTATACATAATGGAAATAAATAAAATTAACTGATGGCAGTATAAAAATTGTATTTTCTGGTATGAAAGTAAAATCCAATCCAGTGTAATACATTTTCTTTGTACATTTGTATGTTGTCAGTATGTTTAAAGGTACTGACAGAAATACGCATCAACACTGTATGCTTGCACATGGCTGAAAGACACAGCACTGCACGTAAAACTACCTGCCTGCAGAGTTCCCTTCTCTCACCAGAGTTCTACTGCACAACTGAACAAGTAAAATTCAACACTGTGGAGCTGAACTCTTCCCTGCAAAACAACCAATGCCAAGAACTAAAATAACACAACTGTAAACTTTACCCACCATCTTGCTGGGTACCCTTATGTACTCTTCAGCCACCATTTCCTTTCTGATCATCATTTTTAGGTTAAAAAGAAAAACCAACTGAATATTTTGTTAGTGTTGGTATTGAGAACTATTAAAAAGTATTTGATTAAGTTTTTAAATCAATATTATAATCATTTAGTGCACAATCATGCGCATTTAACAGTCAATTTAACTCATCTGGTATCTCACACAACCAACACAATATGCAAGAAACAACTGCTGGGAATTGTTTCAGATGCTCTAAAGTATGTTAATTTCCAAAGCAAAATGACTTGTGCTGTGAATTTTAACGCACTTGAAAGCCTGTACTTTCTCTCGTTCTGGAGCACAAATTTTGCATGTCTGAAGAGCTGTGATTCATCTTAAGAAAACCCATCTTGTGTTAAATGGAATGGAAACTGGACTAAGTGGTCAAATGACAAGTACATTCATATTCAAGCTGTATTATAAATGCATGTACAGTAATTTACGTCTCTCAGCTACCACAAAAGGCTCTTGATAAGCAGGTAATTTGCTAAATGGACTCCTTTATCCAAGTATTCGAAGGGCGTTACAAGAAAAATCTGCAGAGGCATTAATGTGACGTAAAGGTCAAGCATTGTGACATACCTTTCAAATAATCCCGCCTAACTTGCGATATGATGAGGAGGCTGCTGGCAGCACTGTTCAGTGTGAAGCCCTTGATGTGGGTCTCAGCACTAAAAGAAGCAGACATTTAGAAAGGAATTACTGACATGCTTCTGATACGATAATAAATGGTTGAGCACCAAGGTGAAATTATAAAAACTACTGTTCGTATGTTAAAAATATTGCTGCAAAATATCGACCTGGAGACAGCTTTTGTGTTATCCTGTCAATGGTTATAGAAGGATAATTTTTTTTTGCATTCTGACAGATGACAAAGTTGGAAGTGAGCAACAAAAGAAACAAAGTACAAGATTTTTTTTAAACAATCGGTTCAGATTCTTGAATGCTGACATATTAGATGACTAAAATAACTGCATGCCCTGCATTGTTCTGTTGTATCCTAAGCTGGATACTTTTTCTTCTTTTTTCAATAGTCACCATAATTATAAAATATAAAACTATTCTTTCAGCAATAAAAATGAAACATTTATTTTCAGCACTGTATATTTTAAACATAAACTAAAGCATATTATGAACTAACACCATATCATTTGGTTGATTAATTTTCAAATTTCTGTCATCTAGATGTATACAGGTTTTAAAGTGAACATACTACATTTGCTGCCTTAGCCCTGTTAAAATTGTATTTCACTTATCAATTCTTCATCGCCTGTAATACAAAACTTCACAGATCTATAGCAAAGAGAATCGTTCCTTTAATAACACTGATAGAGCTTTTCTAGCACACTGAAAATTAGTCAAGAGAGACTAACCAGCAATCATATTGATCCTATACTACAAAATGGTCCCGTTCCCAAATGACAGAGAGCCACATTTTTAATATATAAGGATAAGTTTACAAATGTTCATTTCTAGATTACAAAATCTCTACACAGAAAAGGGGGGCATTGCCATTTACCATATCAGCAATCAAGATAAACCTCACTGATCATCTTGAGGCAAACAACTGAGCAGCCTACCTACTTGAACTTAGAGGCTGAGCGGATTGGGAGGTAAGCAGGGTCATTGCTAAATTATTCTCCTCAATCCCAAGAAAATCCTTCACAGTGCACACAATATGACTATCCTCTCAGTCACTTTCAGCCTCCCAGGCTCAGAAATACAGTCACTGGACTCTGGGATTTTCTTACTCTCCCAACCAATCCTCTTAATCCCTGCCTAAGCACCCACTGCTCAGTTCCACGTTTTTTTCCCTTTGTCCCATCTGTCAAAGCCCCTAAGTCAACAATTCATGCATGAGACTGTAAATTACATATAACAAAGGATTTACTTTCTCCAATCTTCCAATCTTTAGTGTGATTAAATAGATGTTAGCTACTATTACAGAACTAATCCATCATTCCAATACTCCTAAATTTCTATTTAAAACTTCTTGGACTAAATGCAGTAAATATTCCTATACGCAGTGCTAGAATGTGAAAACAACTAGACCTTGGCTGACCAACATACTAGTAACCTCCTGGGATGTTTGGTTTGGGGGTTCATTTATTCTAATGCAGAGCAGGAGTGCAATTTCCTTCTGCCGCATCATTTCCGCATGGAAGTTCCTCAGTTCTGTTATGAGGAGGGAGGTTTCAAAATTATCTGACCTTTTCAAATGAAAACCCCACTTATTTTGTTGCCTATGCTACCGCTTATAGTAAGGCACTCAAAATATTATTTAAATTTCAAATTTGGCTTCAAGCAGAGAAAAAAGAAAAAGATGCTGGCTTACAAAAAATGAAGGCAGCTTTCCCGTATTTTATGAAAATATTAGAAGTTGCACAAGTTTCAGGCCACTGCACACATTTAGGCTTTGTAGGAGTAATCTCTTTGTAATACGAGGTTGGAAAAATTGTCAAGCATGCAGAAATGTGTGCAAACCACACAGATTTGCTATTCCTCAGCCATGGGCACTCACACAATCAATTTTGTCTATTTCAGTGAATAATTTAAAACTTACAGACTTTTGAAAATGTTTAATGTAAGCATCATTTTGTTACTAGAAAAAAAGATAGAGAGATAAATGCCATGAATACAGCCAATATGAAGCATTTTCTGTCTTGAGGCAAGTGAGCTGTTACAAGTTTCTTACAATGTCATTATTTGGCATTTCTATGCTACAAGATGGAGTATGAGAGTTCTGAAAAGCACAGGGGTTATGATGGTTGGCTTTGAAGAATCTCTTACCAAGTCCTATTCTCTTTTTTTATTAAAAAACTCAAGGTTCAGAGGTGTGTTCTTTGAAACACATCTCCAACTTCATTAGTCTTTACAGTTTTTTGTTCTTTATTTTTACCCCTGCATTTTGAATTTACATACTAAAACACTTACCTGAAGTGGGAATTCACAATCATTAAAATACTAGGAACAAGCCACTACCTTTTTTCTGCTCTTCCAATCTGCCAATTACTGCTGATAATATGCAATACTTTGTGCATCTTTCTTACAATTGTGTTTGAGCAGGGAAGCAGTCAGTGCAGGGGAATGTTTTAAACTTCTCCCGTGAAGAATCTTTCAATACATTGCAATACATTCATATTTTGTGTAAATGTTTCACAAACTACCTAATTTTTATCAACACACTTTTGTATTTCTGGAAACACCTTCTCTCCATCTTCTATTTATACAGACTTATCAGTTACTTCCATTTCAGGGAGCGTAATGTGGCAAACTGTCTTAGTTTCTCCTTGATATATGCCACGTATCCATCAAGCATAATAATTCATCACCATGAAGCCCAGCTACTGAGACCTCTTTGAAAAAACATTATTTGTTCTGAATGCAGGTGTCAAATACTTTTTCAATGAAAGACATTTCTTTGGTCTAAACACTTTTAAAGAGAATATGAAAATAATAAACATCATCTTACACTATCCTGTTCCCAGACATCAAAGATTAAGTTGGCTCTAAAAATTACTATACTTTTATAGTGCTTTATGCATCATGTAAGTTACCTACAGGCGCTTTCAAATTCAGTGTATCCAGTCAGTGAACACACTTGATGACAACCACTGTTCTTGTTTTAGTTGTAGAAACTTAAAGACTTAAATTACTTACACTTAAATTTTTGTTTTTTCTTTACATTGATAAGTAGTAACACTTTTACTTTGAAGCCTATAATCTGACCAGAACACACATTACAGGCAATAACTAAAACAAGTGGTCTTCCATGCAACTCACTTAAGGTTAATTTGATGCTGTTGATTCTAATAATAGATGTCAGCAGGTCGGGTTTATTTCAGAAGTGTTAGGAGCTGGATCTAAGGTTTATGGTCATCTCCTAGCCACTGGCATTACAGTCAAATGTACCATTTTGCATCTGGCAGGCAGCCAGCTGCCAGGGAGTGTGGGTAGGGTAGGACAGCAGAGGGATGGGGATGGAGGCGGAGGCTCACGGGCACTTAGTAAAGGAATGTTGTCTGTTTGGATATTGCTCGAAAGAGGAAAAGGCAGACTGCCAGGAGGGTGGATTTTCAGTTCTGATGCCAAGTACATTTGTTGATACTGTTAGCTGAAATGAGTTATTAGCAATACATACTGTCACTCTAGTACCTTTTTAATACACAGAACATCTCTCTATGAAACACTGGCATATTTCTTACCATAGCTCCTAATTATCAGTCATGACCTACTGAAAGTTAAGGACTTACCTTTAAATGATCCAGAAATTATTTTAACACATGCCTCACCCAACTTAATTGTTGGGGGACTCAACAACAAATACCCCAAACACAGAGAAGCCTTACATGCGTTTCACTCTGATGGCTTCTTGAAGATAATCCTGTGCTAACAATGCTTTTATAAGGGTAGAGTAAGAATGATGATGAAGTTCATTCTTCTGCATTTTCAGGAAAATACTGTAGGCCTCTAGAAAGGAAAAAAAAAAAAGCCAAAATTAAGTGTCTTATTGCAATGATGTTGATCGTAGATAGAAATCACCTGTTCATTGAAAAGGTCCATCTTAAATCTGTTTATCCTCTCCTTACATCTCAGAGCCCAAAGCTATTTGTCACAGCTTGCTCAAAACTGCTTACATACAACAACGGATGCATATCTTCACGAAGTTTGCTACTGCTCTTTTTCTATATGTGTCTGCTGCTGAAATACCAACACAGCTGTTTAGAAGGGGAAGGCTCAGGATTTTTAAAGCAACACCTAATTCTGGGGTATACAGTTACAGTGTCTGGTGCGTGATCATAACAGCATTTAACAAATAATATAGGAGGTGATTCCAATATGGGGAGATCAAATTATTTGGCTACGACAAGATTTATACAAAACATACAATTTACAAATATACAGATATTTAACAAGTAAACTACGCTGCATTTGTTTGACTGATTAACAGTTTTATTTCATGCATTCACAATAACTGTCAGTGTATGAAAAGATGTTACCAAAAAGGGGGAAAAAATGATAAGCACACTTTTCAGTCATTTATTTTTCTGAAACGAGATTATGCGGCTATAAACACGCAGCTAGAACTGCCATCCAGGCTGTAGCGTATGTTAGAAAGCTGTGTTAAAACCACAAATGATCTTTTATATCTAACCTGCATTTGCATGTTTCATTTAATGAAACAATAAATAACCCCTTTGCTAATGCAAAACACAGCCACAATAACCCTTAAAACTTGACAGAAACACTTGTACAATAACAGTGCGAGGCACTTTAGGTTTTTTTGTACTTCAGAAGTAAAGATGAAGGCATCCCATTTGAATCCTACTGTCACAAGAACAGTCATACTAAGAGCATTTACTACAGTGTGCTGGGGAATTTTGAGCTGGCATTCCCCAAATCAAAACTGCTGGTGTTCCCTTTGGTTTGAATGTTAAAATTCTTCAACCAAAGAGTATAGAATCATAGAATGGTTTGAGTTGGAAGGGACCTTAAAGATCATCTGTGCAACCTGCAGCCTGGTTGAAGTATACCTACATGAGTCTTGAATTAAGATGCATGCCTGATCAGGTATTATCAGCTTAAAGCTTCTTCAAATGGCATCTAAAATTATTAAAGTATATTAGCATTCAAAAGAGAAAGTTCTTGGTTTCCAAATCATACTGTGTTTTAGTAGCTATTTCAAGTACAAAGATTTGTTAGAAAAGTGACAACTTGCCAAGAAAGTCTCAGTTCTCAAGACAGTCAAATTTGTTTCAGCAATTGCAACTGTTTGGGATGTGTGTAACATGATCCCCCAGAGTCAGGTTCTCACACTGAGGAATCATGATAAAAATGAAAATATGACTTAGCATAAATCAAGCACTTCAGGGAACAGCTTTTCAAAACACCTCCATGTCAGAATTGATAAATTTGTGAAATTAGTTACATAACCAGATTAATATCTTTCCTATCAAAAAGCTGATGCTGATAGAAAGTTATATTCTGCCTTATTACATTCACATCAAAATTACACTATACTATTACATAAAAGCAACAACTTTGTGTTTATGCTGTTGGGTTTTTTTCCCAAGCGAACTGTTTCCCAACATTTGTCTTCCCACTAATTCCCAGTAGCTCTAGACCACCTCCTCTCAAATACTGTGTCTTTAAGTAAAAGAATATGCAGGAATAGTTTACTGATAAATTCAGTATCAAATGATATCATTGACAGCAGTTATATTTCACAGTTCTGTTTCAGTCTCCCTGCAAGGTCCAAGCCCTGTTCAACTTCCTCCTCTTCTCTCCTTGATCATTTGCGATATCAAAGGCACAGGACACTTTCCTAGGAATAATGTTATACAATGCACTCCACTAATTTTGAAATGTTTTCAGTGAAAATATTTCTGTGTTTCTCACATTTTCTTTTGAGTCCCCAAATTTACCAGCATGAAGGAAATTCTTGAAAACATTTTGTCTGCCCTAATACGTGATTCTTAAAATTCATAAATTCATATACATAACATGAGGTTGCACAGCCTATATACTGAACATCCAGACTTCAGACCTTGAATCAGTGGTCATGCAACTGAGTAACTCTATAGAGTTATTTCACTAACAGAAGTGTGTGAATTGCTGACAGATTCTTAATTTAAAAACTCACGAGCTTAAGAATCAGTGTGTCCAACCTGTAAAATACCCTGACAATACTCAGGGAAGAAAAAAACTAGGTATCTTGTACTTATAAATCTTTCTCGTTCAGAAAAATTAATTTTTTAAACCTACTTAATTCTATTTCTTATCTACTTCCAAGTGAGATACCTGTTTATATGTCATAGTACAGGTGAAGAAATAACGATTTCCAGAAGACTCAAATACTCTGCATCTTGGCAAATGCTAGAAATGGACTAATTTCCACACCACTTTGAGAGGTCCAGTAATCTAGTTCTGACTCTTGTGAGCCTGCTTTGGGATGAGATGAATAGGAATGGATTTCCAATGATTTAAACACAGACTAAGCTAAAGGAACTGTAACGAAATACACTCCTCCTTTCTATATACAAAGGCAAACACCCATGTATAAGTTAATTCCTTTTTATAGGAGGCAGGGAAGTTTGCACAGAAAAGCTGTTAATTTTTCATAGCAGAACTGATGTGAAGCGATCTCTCAATAAGGCCATTTTATTTCTGAGGTGGTACCCACAGGCACAGGGGTTTGAAACTGCAGGCTGTGGGTCACATCTGGATCTTTTTTTTTAATAGCCTTTATTTCTTTGGGGAAGGAACAACAGGAGGAAAAGTTTGCAAATCCTACAGATGAATATGGACAACTTTAATCTTAGTTATAAAGAAGCTAAAGATGCTACGCACCACACTGAATTCTCCCTTCAAGTACAAATAAACAGCCTTGCAACATCAGTGGATAGAAAATAGACTAACGAGTAAAAGCCAGCTAGGAGGAGAGCAATGGTTATCTCTGTAACATAGTCCCATCTCATTCAATCTTGTCTATTTAATTTCTTTGTCAAATCTATACTTCAATAAGGTATCTGATGTATACTTTGGAACCGTATCTGATCTTAGTGAGACTTCAACAGCAGGGGCAAATACAAAATCTCCAAACAACTTAATTTAATATGTAATTGCCTCTCATAAACATGTCCCAGCTATTTCACTTGGTATCAGTCTTTCATCTCACTACACTTCTCATGTCTCACACCATAAAACTTTTGACCAAAAAGCTACATTTTCTGGGAACTACAGAAATGTACATAAATTTAGTTTCTGCTGTTTAATGGATACGGTTGAAAACCTAGAACATGGTGTTAACCCAACAGTATAAAGTGAATTACAGACCAGCAGTACTTCGGTAACTTGACAATTGGCAACTTCTCTATACACTGGCTTTCAAACGTGCATTCAGAAGTCAGTATTTTTAATGACATTTTCAATATTTAGCATATCCTTCTCATAACAGGTGCTGAAACATAATATTGGCAGGTAACATTATCATGTAACTTTGTTAACATACTAGCAAACCAACAAAATAAAGCAGCAAGCATCTGTGGGTAAGCTGCTCTGTAGTTAACTGAAATCTTAATGCCAAGGGAGGGGGGCAGAGGGGGAAAATTTACCTTTTGCATTGTTTTTCCTGCAAAGCATCCTTATTTTTCTTTCTTCTTCACTAGAAACAGTTGAACTATCGGTATCTTCATGTCCAACCTTTAAAACAAACTTATTTAAGTCACTGTAATGCTATATGTTAAACACTTTTCAATGGAAAGAAATATACTAAAAGGTGTTGTTAGCCAAGAAAGTTAAACGGCAGTTACCTTAGGTACCTCAAATGGAACAACCTGACCATTTTTTTCAAGTATTTGAGCCAGTAAGGTTAGTGTTTTTGCACGAGGAACTAGATTTTCTTCTTGAATTTTTGTCCAAACAGCTTCAGCCTTTCTCCAGTCATTGTTGTTATCTGAAAACAGAGTCAAATCTTCAGTCAAAAGCACATTTTAGAGTCTCAAAAAACGTATCTTTGGGAAATAATTCATCAATTAATCATATACCTCTGCTTTTTAAGATCATCAACCCAAGAAGTTCTGAACTACTTTTAAAGCACAGAGGATGCTGAAAGATGCAAGTAACAAAAGGATTGTAGGGATTTTCAAATTAATGAGAAATCAGCTCACAAACATTGCAGAAGTGCACCTCCTGGCTCATCAGTTCTAGTATTCTTCATTGTTAATTATAAAAACAACCAGGAAAATTTCTAAGTTATGACAAAACATTAACCCTCTAAGGTACCATTTTCTTAGTTCTATTCTGAAATTCTTCAAATTAAATCCTCTGGTTATGCAGCTACTGAGATAAAGCATCAACATCCCAGAAGTTTAGGCCTTCAGGCTCTCATTTGGCTAAAAGGAAAAACCCAGAAAACCAAACAAAACCAACTGTATGTATCTGAGGGCTGTAAAAGGTTAAGTTTTCTGAAAGAGAAAAAATAATTGCTGCCAAATTCACACAGTAATTCAACTGTTTTCAATAAGAACAGCAATTTATACATGCATCACTGTACCAAACTGCAAATAAATAGAAAGATGGACTTATTGACTGAAAAAAGTTAACTACTACTTAACTACATGCATTGGGTGGTTTCTTGTGTCTCCTCTCATAAGTCACCAGCTTCTGACTGTAGATCCTATTCACAGCTACCTAACCCCAACATCTGCTAACTGTGATCTGTCCATTCCATATTTTAATCCAGAATCCCAGAAATGAAGAGAAGCAAGGCAAGAAGGCAGAGCCAGAAAGCGGATGGTGTAATGAATCATTTACTCCGCAATATCTCAGCCTAAACCAGCAGCTCTTCACCTACGTTTACAACTGTTCATCTAGGGAACTTCAGCTTTTCAGTAGCTCAGGCGCCACTGGACTAAGTCAAAACACAAGGAAAAGCTGGACATGTTGCTTTGCAAACAATATTGCCATGCAATACTGAAACATGACAGTGCAATGTTCTCTTCTTCCCAAAGCTCAGCATGGGTTTAAAAAGCATATGGATATCTAATTGGGCTGGTTCAAGATCCATGCCCACTTGCAACAAAGTTCTGACATTGCATCAGCTTTTTGGAAGTGGCAGCACACTTGGTGACTACCCTAAGTAAAATCAAATGATTGGTTTTAAGGACTAAATACTGCAGATAACATTTTAGTTATGTCAGATTATTACGGCAGTTAGAAGAGTAGGGCAGAGAATTTCTTAACACTTTTTCATGTGCCTGTGCCCCTGAGGCCTCATGAGGCCACATCTAGAGGACTGTGTCCAGTTCTGGGCCCCACAACTATAGAAGACATGCTAGAACTGGGGCAAATTTCGCCATCAAAGACAGACATGGGGCTGGAGCAGATGAGGAACAAGAGGAGGTCAAAGAAGATGAGTTTTTTGGCAGCCTGGAGAAAAGCAGGCTAACAGAGCAGACTATTTGCTGTCTTTAGTTACCTGGAAGTTACAGAGAAGAGCAAATCAGTCTCTCCTTGGAAGCACATAGCAAAGTATAAAAGGTGATGGTTAAAAGTTGCAGCAACAGAGTGTCTGAGGATGATCAAACCCTGGAACAGGTTGCCCAGGGAGGCTGTCTGATTTCCAGCTTTGGAGGCACTCAAAGCCTCCAAGGACATGATGTGATCTAACTGAAGTCTTCCCAGTTCTGGGAAAGGGCTAGGCTTACAACTCCTGAGGTTCTCTCCAGCATAAATTCTGTGATTCTAAACAACCAAATGCATTGTTTTCTAAATTTCTGATCACAGCTTGGACAAGATGGTATTTTTTTTTAATATGCCTAAAATAGATATGAAGTTATGGCTACTTTCTACTGTGCTTGTGCACAGAGCAGCTTCAATAGATAGTCTATAATGGTTGAAAACAGGAATGTGCATGGGTTTTGTGTTTTATGGTGACAGTAACCCACAAATGTTTTCCACTTCTTTGAACAGATGGAATTGGTTTTGTCTTTTGAAAGACAACTGAAGATTTTGCATGACAGAAGTTCATAAATTGTATCTTCTTAGATTCTCTTCCTAGCAGGCACACTGTCAGACTTAGTCACTGCCAGAGGTGAACACGATGAGTAGGGAAACAGGAAGGCTCCCTCCCTTTTGAGCCAACATTGCTTTTCAGGCCTACTTGATTTTTGATGGTGAACCAGTATGCACAAAGCCAGAATTGGGTAATGCTATAGTTGGATTTTGAAGCTAAGGCTGTTCAGGCAATGGAAAGTAACAAAGTTCTAAAGAGGTCTCTTGTCATTTGTTTTGTGGAAGTACTCATCTCTTCTGCTTAGGGGAAGTGGAATGGGGAAGAAGCCTCTTTTATTACCATATGAAAAGAAAACATTGCTAGCTCTAGCCAACCAAAAATACACATGGGGAACAGCCCCAAATTACTTCAAGCTCAAGTGCAAGTATTCGGCATACTAAATATATCAAATTGCTGTAATGGCTTATTAATACATACACACACATATTTTCAAGACTTCAAAATAACTGAAGCTTCCAGATTTTTTTAGTTTTGGTTGACTGAGTAACAAACCCAGCACAGACTGAAAAATACACAAAAAGAGGAAATTAAAACCACTACAAATCTATCCTACGCTAAGTCTCTAGCATAGAAATAACCTTCCAATTTTAAAAACTGTCATGTTTCTACAAATGAAGCAGAAGTTAAATTGTAGTTGGTGAAGAACTGGTAGATTAAAAAAAAAAAGTTAAAAAATGCAGCTTTCCAAACCAGATCAAATTACAGAAGACTCCAGGTCTTTATCAGTTATGAAGATGTAACAAATATGCAGTTTTACTTCTTTAAGCGTATTAAAACCAAAACAGAGTAACTTTCAAATTAGGACACAAGGCAACAGAATGGACTGGAAGACTTGGACTATGTAAGTTCTAGGTAAGTGTCAAAAGTCCCCTATACTCTCTCCCTCACAACAGAAACGGTATCCAGGCTTATTGCATATCAGGATAAAACTCTCCAATTCAGGGTTATTTCCTATCTCCAAGCACAAACCACAACAGATCACAAGCTCACTTACCACAAAGTTGAAGCAAGGAGCAGTACATCTCATTTCTATCACATTCAAACAGATTTTGCGTTAATTCTACTAACTGTTCCAATGCCTCCATCTTTAAAAAGAGAGAAGAACATAGTTATATCTCAGCCAAACTATTTTTCTATGTACGTGCACTTACATGCTGTGTCCATTCAGCTAAAACAATATTTCTGTTTAAGTATACACCAGCATTTACACAGAGCATTAAGTTCACCTCATCAGCCTGTCACATGTCCTTTCACAAACAGAAAAATCAAGCAATGAAATACTTCCAACCAATTTTTCTTGGACTCTAATGACAGTTACATAGAAGACATCATACAAGCCACGTACCTGATTATTTGATATACACTTCCTTATAAACCACTGCAACCTTCCAGAGTGGGCTCTCAAGCCAGGAGTCTGTAAAATATTGCCAAAAGAAGAAACACATTACTTCACATAGAAAGTTCTAAGAAAAAGAAAAGTGAATAAAACTTCATAGTTTTGGGGTTGTTTTATTGGGGTTTTTTCGAAAGCTGAATGGGACTACAAGCTCACAAATAATTAAGTTAGGCTACATTTATAAGAGACTTAAAAACTGCAGTCAGTTTATTGAAGACATTTTTCTTTATTGTTGAACACTACCAAGAGAGCTGATTTAAAATACACTTCAGATGAGCTGAAATGTTAAGTAACTTCTACCACCACAGTAATAGAGTATTATTCCTGTTACCCACAGTAATCTTTTGTATTACTTGTGGCAGAGAATTACACAAAATGCTTCCAAACTGTCTTTCCAATGAAATGTTTGTATTCAACGCCACTGCAATGTCTCAGCAACTAGAAAACCACGCTTCCCAGCCACATGATCACTAACTGGTACCCCTTCTCTGCTAACATAAGCCATTTTCTTACAACTAGTAGCACCTAGTACCAATTGTGCTTTTAGATACTGACTTCGCTTGCTACTGCTCATTAAGAAAAGTAAGAATTTATAGAGCAGTAACTGTTATAACTGCAATGTGCTGCCACGCAGGTGCCAGGTATACTACTGTAAGGCAATTCTTATCCCATGCAAAAAAACCCAACAGAGCAAAGGCTTACTAAAGTTTTGTACACAAAGGAATTGATGTGTAACAGTCAATATGTCCTAGTTCTTTCTGTTACTAATTTTCTCAGGTTTGATGAGCCTTTGCTTATTCATTCCTCTCATTTTGAGCAGACTACAGCTAGAGAATACAATCTCAAAAAGGTTTCAATCATTGGAAGCTCCTCCTGGTACAGATTACCACATTATGCCATCTCAGTACCACTGACCATAATCAAAATATTAGTTCCTCTACTTAAATAAATTCTTAAACACAGGAAAATTCACAGGCCTTACAGAAACACGTTACAGACATGCCAGCACTTATGTCCAGCATATCTAAACATATGATACAAAGAAAACGGTGTGCAAAGCATCCATCATTTCCACCTCTTATCCTTCCCTCTCACAAAGTACTTAGATTTACTTTACACACTCTTGTTTTAGCACAAGGATCATTTACATAGAGTATTCTGCTTTCATTTCAGGTGTCCAGATTCACATTAATACAGCTAAAAGTGATTCCAAAGAAACGTCTGTTCATCCCTACAGAGAAACGTGTGTTTTTACTCATGAAGGTTTTTAGCTGTTAATATTTTAAGAAATCTCTACTGTTTAAACATGAAATGCAACTTCCAAAATTTGAACACCACTTAGCATAAGAGGCAGTTTGAACAAGAAGCTGTGGGAAATACTGAGTCTCAGTTCCAAAGCAGTGGAAACAATTACCATTGAAAAAGTCAAGTTACCTTCTGTCTTTTTAATAACACAGATAATTTCATTTTCCCATATTACTAAGTACAAAATTATTACCATTACATCTTTCTGAAATAATTCAGGATATACCAGAAACCACCATGCAAAACTTCAGTCAAAACCATTACAATCTGCTAAATAGATAGGAAACAGGGTTCTGCAGAGTAAATATTAGGCCATATAATCCTACAAATCACCCAAGCCATTTTATTCAATCATTGTAAGGTTTTCAAAGAAATAGGACATTAACCCCACAGTTTTTCAAGATGGGGCATCTTCTCTGTGTATTTAACTGCACTATAAAAATAGTCTCAGACCAAGAGGTTAGAGAAAAATAGTGGCTTTCTCAGGTATTCAAAAGTGATATATATAAACAGTTTTGCTTTCCAGGTACTTGCGTTCTTTCCATTTCCCCCCCACATTTATGATTATAGATACTGTTCAGTGCTTCTTTAAGAGCTACTAAGCAGTTTCACATAAAATATGCTGAAAACTAAGTCAAGAATTAACATCTTATACAACAGGCTCTTGAAAATGAAAAAGAAAATAGTATGCTGCCTGCATTTGTAGCTAATCCTCTTTAGGACACGGTAAAATTCAAATGCTGAATTCACTTACAACTTCCAATATCATTGCTGATCCGAATGCCAATGAACTCAAAGCTATAAACTTTTTATAGTAAATCCTTTCCTGTTCAGAAATGATTGATGTGGCTGTCACTACAAGGACAGCTGAGTTATACAACAGATATCCTTCTGTTTCATTTTGAAATTGAGAAGTGTTTTCACATACTGCAGGTCTCAATCATCAAAAGAACATCTAGGTCAGATTAACTAAATCTCCAGGGCTTGCCTGATAGTCCATATTTGTAGCTTATCCCTTACCATCTTAGGGCATTTTAAACATTGCATTTAGCAGGGAGCAGACTTTCTACAATGCAGCAGACTAAAATACAGAATAAAAGAAAAATGCAAGTTATAAAAAAATTAAGTAAAAATCTGTTACTTTCATTACTCGTCCAAATCCCCTTTTACAATTTTGCTCTTGCTTATTTCAATGGAGAAAAAAAAAAATATAAACCCCTACTATTCTTAGTGGGTTTGGGTTGGGTTTTCTTTTAAAGCTATTCACTCCTTCAAAGAATCAAACAACTATTTAGAGTCTCAAGCAATTTTTACATTACATAAAGTAAACATGGAGGTTTTCTAGCTTTTATGTTCTCTTGGAGTGCAACACAGTTGTGCTATACCAAACCAAAGGCTCATATAGCTTCTTCATTCTCTCCCTAACAGTGCCTATAGAAGAACATAGAATGACAGAAAACGCAGTAATACTTCCCTTTAGTGCTCTTTCACTGTCCAACTAGGGGGTCAGGGCATCACACTGTTCATAGAAAGTGATTTCTCTTCTCTGAACTTTTCTGGTTGCCCCTGGAATCCCATCAGATTTACCATTCCTAAGATCCTTTGGCAAAAGGCTGCATCAACTACCTTATGCAGAAAACAACCACTACCACTTTTTGTTTGTTTTCAGCCTAGCTGCTACTGATTTCTACTTGTATCAAGAGGCAACGCACAATTGATTTTTCTTTATCCTTTCTATTCCATACTAATTTCATGAGTGGTATAATTCCCTGTGGTATATAATAATTCCCTATTTCACTGTTTCTTTCCCAGAATACACAGAACTCACCTACTTAGCTATATCTCCTATAGAAACCATCCCACACTTTTGATCACGTTTGTCACTACCTGCCTGAGGCTCAGCTTACGACCCTACAGTAGCTTACTGATTCAGTACTTTCACATACAGAAAGGAAAACTAACCAGAAGGGGCAAAAATCGGATGCATCTTCAGAACAACTCTTGCCAAGCAGTACTCAAAAATCACATGAATGCAACAATCCTAACATACTGAATACATTTGGTTTGTTTGCCTCCTTCCTAGAATCAGTCACTTCACACAGGTGATTTCTGTACTAACATTTTTATTTGAGCTAACTTCTATCTATTACAGCTGAAAGAAAACAGATTGCTTGGGAAAACAGTGACCTATCAGAGAAGAATCTATTTGATGTTTTCCCAGATTTTTGCATAATTATGGAAATATTCAAGTTCAGTTTAGTGTTCTGTAACTGTTAAGCTAACAGACCAACACTGTTTTTTTACTTGCAGAAAAAAGCTTTACAGAAGACATATGGAAAATATTTATTTCTCTCTACTTGCCTAAAGCAACCTTTTTCTCTTTAAACAGAAAACTTGCAGAGAAAACCCACAAAACCCAACACAGCAGAAACCCTGTGGTATTGTTAAAAAAGAGGACTTTCAGGAAACGAAGAGTTTCCAGTACACCCCTTTTGCTATAGCTGGCTTACAACGCATGATTATTTAAAAGCCAGCAGAAGTAGCTGGCTTTTCATTTGGCATACACATAACATGAGAGGGATGACTTTTGTTTTAACCTTCCAAAACTGCACTTTTGACAAACTACTACTGTGCACTGCTTGGATATCCTGGACAGTTAATTCTAGCCTTTCACAGTGAAACTTCACTGCGAACAACACACCTATTCTAACCAGTCAAGTTTAACTCTGGCCTCCTTAAGTGTTTTATGTCTTCTTCTAAATCCTTACGTTTTCTTCTTAAAGTTCACTCTTTATTTAGGGAAATAATTCCACTTAGAATCACCAATCCAAACACGTAGAAAATAAAAAGTTCAATTTTATAAGCACCATCCATGCTGCACTGTCTGACAGTATTTTTTGGATGGGTAGAACCATTCATTCCTCTCTCTGCAGCTGAAAAAGCCAGTAATAATAAGAGACAGCTAATGCTGCTGAAGGAAGAAGAATGTTTCATGATGAGTTACATCAACAGCCGTAACAGACTTATGTTACCAGTACCAGAACCAGTTACTGAGATTTAGATGCCAAAGCAATGTCTTGCAAGAAAATGCGTTACTTCTCCAAGCAGACAGCCTTGAACAGACATCTATAAGAACTGATGTATGTCATTTCTAACAGCGCGCTCTAACATAAGCATCAGAGAAAACGGAACATTTGATGGGGAGTTCTTGACTTAGAGACAGACTTTTCCCTGATTCCACAAAAATGTCTATGAAATTCTCACAAATTCTATGCAGCTTCAGTGAAGCCTGGGATATTTCTGCCTGGCAGCTTACTTGAACAAAGTTTTTTTACACAATAAATGCTGTATGCTACGCTTTAATTTTCCTCTACGTTAAAACTCTTGGCAAAAGTCCTCACTTTTACTAAACAGCAGGTGTACTACCTCATCAAAAATTAGAACAAAATATACAGATAGAAAGTTTCTGCACCTTATGTAGTCATCTAAGTATAGTTGATAGATGAGATGGTTAAAATTACCTTACATTTGTTATACTTCTACCTCTTATTAAATACTCCATATTAAATACTCAAAGGGCAATGTATTAATTTCAAAAAATACTAAAACATATACTTTAACATCTTTTAAATAATCTTACATTTGTTTTGCTATATATTAAACAAATATACCATTTTGCTCTATTTCTTACACTGTAATCTTCATAGCATAAT